GTTCAAGCTTACCAACTGCTTCTTGGAAACCCTATACAGGGTTACTATGGGTTGGAACAATTCAACAGCACTTAAGAACAGCAAATATATATATTTATATATTTAAAAGCTTAACGTAACTATGCTCTAAAAGTTCTTTCAACTTATCTCTTAAACTTCTATTCTTCTGGATAATTCCAATAAATCAACTTCAGCTAACCAAGCCCTGAAAACACATAATACAAGCATTGTTCTATTACCTTAAGTTGGCGGTATATTTTCTTCAGTGCATATGCTTCCTCTTCTGTTTTGGGAATAAGTCTTATCAACTGATCACTGCAAAAAGAAAAAAAGTGTAATTTACCCTTTCAAAATAAAAGTTATTTGCTCTTTAAATTCTTCTTACCCATAAAAAAGGAGTTTTGGTGTCGTGCTGTGGGTTAATGTGCTGCACTGCAAAGTTGGTTTGAATCACAAGGTCAGTGTTTGAAGCTTACCAGCTGCTCCTCAGAAACCCTAGACAGGGTTGCTATGGGTCAGAATCGACTTGATGGCACTTAACAATAATAACAACTCACAAAAAAACCCTGTCTCTACTTTTTTAAAATGAGACAGCAAAACTTTTGACTAATCAGTGGCTATTTTGCCCAGTTCTTGTTATTTACAATTGTACTCATCTTTTTTTCCCTGCCTTAAAACTAAGACATCAGCGCTTGAAGATACCAGGTTCACATTTTATATTATAAATGGAAAGAGGGTGGAACCACAGGAATGGGCAATAGGGACAGCAAATTTTATGAACAGCTCAGAACAGATCCAAGAAAGAAAATTGCTAATGACAGAAGTAAGAAAAACCATTTACCTTTTAGATGAATGCTGAAAAAAATGTGACTTTTTCAGTGAGAAGACAATTGAAATAAACACACTTTGGACCATTTCTGGTTTGAATTATTCTTACACTGAGAATAGTAACGATAAGCACATCTATAAGCACTGGACCACAAGGTTGGTTTGAACTGCAAGGTCAAAAGTTCAAACTCACTATCTACTCCTTGGAAACCCTTTACACGTTCACTATGTGTTGGAACTGACTCAATGGCACATAACAACAACAACGTGGGATACATAGTAATCCCCTAGTAAGCACCTGGCTGTTAACTGAAGAGTTGGTGGTTTGGATCCAGCCAATGGATCTGGGGAAGGAAGAAAGAAAGGCCTGGTGATCTTC